AGCAGAGGTGTAGACAAGTGTGCCCTGTGATGCAGGGGTTCCTCTCCGGGTCTATTCCCCAGAGAGTCTGCGGCTCATGGACACAGAGAGACAGGTGTAAAACTGCCCACTGCAGCACCACTTGTGAGAGGGAAAAATCACACACAGCGGAAGTGCAAATCAACAGACCAGTGGATAATAAATGTAATGCGGTTGCTTTGGGGATAGTAAGCATCTGTTAAAATGAATGGACTTGATCTATATGCATCAAGGGAGATAAACCTGAAATACTGAATATTGTGATATACTGAAATAGTGATAAATATAATGACATTGACATAACTTTCCAAAACCTGCAAAACCACATTGTATATTGTTTATGGCTACATATACACATAGTAGTTTTAAATAAAAGTTTTACAGTGGGATGGATGGGCAAAAGACATGAGTAGACACTTTTCCAAAGACATCCAGATGGCTAACAGACACACGAAAAGATGCTCAACATCACTCATCATCCGGGAAAGACAAATCAAAACCACGGTGAGATACCACCTCTCACCTGTCAGAATGGCTGACATTAACAACTCAGGCAACGACAGATGTTGGCGAGGATGCAGAGAAAGAAGAACCCTTTTACAATGCTGGTGAGAATGCGAGCTGGTGCAGCCGCTCTGGAAAACAGTGTGGAGGTTCCTCAAAAAGTTAAAAATAGAACTACCCTACGACCCAGCAATTGCACTACTAGGCATTTATCCACGGCATACAGGTGTGCTGTTTCGAAGGGACATGTACATCCCCATGTTTATAGCAGCACTATCGACAATAGCCAAAGTATGGAAAGAGCCCAAGTGTCCACTGATGGATGAACGGATAAAGAAGATGTGGTGCGTGTGTGTGTGTGTGTGTGTGTGTATACACGTATATACACACATATATACATATACATATATATACGCATACATACATACATACATACATACATGGAGTATTACTCGGCAACCAAAAAGAATGAAATCTTGCCATTTGCAACTATGTGGATGGAACTAGAATGTATTATGCAAATGAAGTAAGTCAGAGAAAGACAAATATCATATGATCTCACTCCTATGTGGAATTTAAGATACAAAGCAGATGAGCATAAGGGAAGGGAAGCAAAAATAAGATAAAAACAGAGAGGGAGACAAACCATAAGAGACTCTTAAATATGGAGAACAAACTGAGGGTTGCTGGAGGGGAGGTGGGGGGGGGGGATGGGCTAAACAGGGGATGGGCATTAAGGAGGGTCCTTGTTAGGATGAGCACTGGGTGCTATATGTAAGTGACAGATCAGTAAATTCTATTCCTGAAATCATTATTACACTGAATGTTAACTAGCTTGGCTTTAAATTAAAAACAAAAAATAATACAAAACATAAAATGTGGATGGAAAGGATAAACACCAACTTTAGGACAACTGGTTACCATAGGGAGGAGTGAGTCTAGGAAATCTAACAAGGAATTTAACACACATATTTTAACACGCAGATATTTTAAATTACATAACACCACAGACACTCAACAAATAACTATTGAACTCCTACTCTGTGCTAGGCGGTATTCTAGGTGCCTGTAATGATCATATGAACAAAAGACATACAGGTTCTTGTCCTCGTGAAATTTACTGGCCATACATAAATCTGTAAACATGAAATCCATAATCTCTCTCTATGTGAAATACATATAATATCTGTATCTCCATCAATTCGGTAAATATGAACTATATATAACAATCTAGAAATATACATAATAGATGACACCATCTGCTACGGAACAAACCAAAGCAGGAGAAGGAGACTGGAAATTCTGGGGGGGGGGGGGGGGGGGGGCCACAATTTTCAACAAGCAGAGACCCAAAGGAGGTAAAGGGTGGAGCTGGGAAGTATCTGAGGGGCATTCCTGGCAAGTGCAAAGGCTTGGAGCCTGGAGCAGCCTGCGGTGTTGGGGGAAAGCGAGGACGGTGTGGCTGGAACAGAGGGAGTGGGACATAGAGAAATGAGCCAGAGTCTCTGAGTCAGTGAGAAGCCAGTAAGGGGTTGTGAACAGAAGAGTGTAGGACTTGCTCTGGGGGATTAAGGCAGGAGCAGGTATGCTGGTTGGAAGGTGACCGCAGGAGACGATGGCCTCAGGGTAGAGTAGAGGTGAGGCGGGACGGCACTCTGCACAAGTCTGAAGGGGGTGCCAGCTACTAGGATTTCCCGATGGATATGGGTGTGAGAAAGCGTTGGGCTGACTCCCGGGTCCTGGCCTGCACCTGCAGGGTGGACAGCTGTCTACTGTGGCAGGGGAGAGGAAGACGTGTCTGGTGGGGGTTGGGGGGGGGGGAGGAGGTGGAGCTCAGCGGGGTGTGCAGAACTGAGGGAGGGGCGAGGCAAGAGGCACACCGGTGGCACGTGGAGCTCTCAGAGCCACTGCTGGGATGGCAGAGCAGGGGCCTGGGCGGAGGTGGGAGGGCACCCCAACGGTTCAAGGTCAGAAAGAACACCAGGAATAGCACAGGAAAGGTGTTAAGTGAGGCAGGAGGAAACCAGGAAGGTTTCCTGTCAAAGAAGTGAATCTGGGAAGAGAGTGATCAATGGTGACAAATGTCCCAAAGTAACGCCACGAGGGTCCCTGGTGGCCTTGCCAGGAATGTTGATGGAAGGGCTTCAAGAGCAGGAAGAGGAATGGGAGAAAGCGGGCGCTGGAGGACAGCGACTGTGGACAGTGTGACACGAGGAGGGCAGAAGTGGGATGGCAGGGCTGTGGGGTCAAAAGTGGTCTGTTTCCAAATCGGGCATCCGACGGCAGGGGCAGATGCTGGTGGAAGGATGAGGGAGGAGGCCAGACTGGATCTAGCGTCCAGCAGAGGCAGGCCTTTGGCAGGAGGGATGGCCACAGCAGCGAACAGAGAACAGGGCACAGGTGAGGCAGACAGGCTGCTGGGGTGGGAAGGCCACGAGGTTTGTTTCTTTTTGTTTCAAACAGTATTTTTTCAACATGAAAATCCTTCTAAGTCCGGGGGCCAAAAAAAGAACAGACGGTGAGTGATCCGGCCTGCAGGCCACAGTCTGCCAACCTCTGGGCAACTGAGTGGACCAAGGAGACACCGTGCGACCCCGGAGCAGTGCTGAAGCCCCCAGGGTTGCAGGTGAGGAAGAGAAGGCTCATGGGGTTTTCTGAAGCCACGTGCAGCTGCGTGGGAACAGGTACACCACAGGCAGATGGATCTAACCGGGATTATAGTTCTGCCAGGTGAACACACAAGAGGCGTGACGGGGGGATGACACCAGTGGACCAGAGCCCGGGCTGGGCAAGGAGGAACTGAGGACTAGCTGGGCAGTGGAAGGGCCAGATGCTGGAGTCAGGGTACCGGGCAGAGCAATCTGCAAGGAGGAGCACTAGGGCGCCGGGTTCAAGTCAAGAAGATGGGAAGGCTGCCTCAGGGGCAGGACCTCCGGGTGGGTGGTGGAGAGCGAGTGGAGGGTGGGGGCAAAGGAACAGAGAGGCTGCGGTGCTCAGAGCGCCATCCTGGGGACGTGCCATCGCTAGCAATGCTGGCAGGGGCGGAGATGAGGTCCGCGGAAGGCGGTAGGAAGACGGGAGGCGTCTGATTGAAAGGTGGGGGTTTGCAGGGAGGAGGGGAGACCAGCACAGAGGCAACACAGAGGCGCAGGGACACCAGTGCCTTCCGGGCCAGGGCTGAGCGGGACGCGGGGCAGGGGCGGGCAGCAGTGAATGCAGGGCCCGGGGAAGCCATCCGAGCAAGAATGGGTGGGGTGGGGACGCTCCGGGAAGAGCGTGAAGATCTGGTCTTGCTGGGGACGGAGTCCCCACGAAGCAGGGCGGGAGAATTTAGGAACTGAAGTGGAGACGAGGTCTGTCGAGGGCATGCCCAGCCCAGAAGGGGTGAGGAGCGAGTGGGGTCCCGCCAGCAGCCACGGTATTTCCGGGGCTCCTCTTCCCTCTCATGAATGACAGGGTGGAAACCAGAGAGGCCCCCGCGTAGATGTTATAAGGAAAATGAACAAACCCACGGTGGGCCTCCCCCGCAGGCTAGGAAGCCGGGCAGGTGTCCGATCCCTCTTCTCCAACCACATGGCGCCCTGCCCAGTCGCGCCGCTGTGCTCCGCTTCCAGCTCTGCCCTTGGCACCTAGCAAGGACTCAGGGGCCGTCCGTGGGGCCGTCTGGGGAACTAAACTGGTGAACGCTTTCCCGACACCTCTACGCACCGCCTGCTCTGGCTGGGCGAACCTCTCATTGCGATGGAGCAGCAAACAGGGAAAACACATTTCGTTAATCACAGATTAAACACAGGTAGACTTTTCAGTAACGTAGGGGTTCGGACCACAGGGGATCCTGAGGCAGGTGGGACAGACGAGGCGGTTCTGTGGAGAAAGCAGGCTCGAGCCTGCACAGGTGGGGTCTCCCGGTCAGTGAGGGACTGTCACCCCTTACACCTGTCTGGGGCATCACGCTGGTGATCAGGCTCTTCTCACGCATCCACCTGTCCTTTCTTTAACTTTCAAAGGTGCGGACTGGCTCCAGGAAAAGCTGAGACCGTGACCCAGGGTGTCCAGATTCACCTTAAATAAATCTGTGGTTCTAATCACGTTGAAACATGTGACCGGCCGATGAGATCGGCTCTTGGATGGGGGTAAGGCTGGCTTTTCATAAAACTGAGAAAGAAATTTTGTCTTCGACACACTCCTACCTTCCCTCTCAGTGACTTCTTCCCTCTTCCCCTAATTCCGGGCCCTGGCTCTGTCTGTCTTCTGGAAAGCTAGGTTTCCTGCCTGTTTCCCCGCTGGGAAGTATTCCTGGAGTGTTTGTTGAACAGGCTGTAGGTCATAACTCAACTATTAAAAAACAGATTTAAAACATTCGAGGCTGAGGTTTCTCCTTGGCTCTTCCTGGAAAGAAAGTCATGCCCTCCCTGGCCCTCTACTTTCCCGTTCCCACCTGACTGCCTGGCGTCCCTGGCCTTCTCTCAGCCCCTCACCTGGACTCGGGTCCACAGGAACATCTGGAACCTTCGGGGCGGTGCGACGCCAGCTGCACGGCTCCTTCCCCTGTTCGGTCTGGGAGAGGACCTCAGGCTTGGAGATGGCGTAGTCTGAGGAAAGATAGGAAGGTTAGCTTTTGCCACGTGGTTCCATTCAGAGCTGGGGACAGGCAGCCTGGGAATCCAAGAATGGCCAAGAAACGAAACTTCTAGATTAGTAAAGAGTCCTGGTTCTCAACCATGGGCAATTTTGTCTCCTAGGGGACATCTGGCAGTCTGGGAGACATTTTTATTTTATTTTAATTAAAAAAATTTTTTTGTAATGTTTATTCATTTTTTTGAGAGAAAGAGAGAGAGAGAGAGAGGAGAGAGGAGACACAGAATCCAAAGCAGGCTCCAGAATCTGAGCTATCAGCACAGAGCCCGATGCGGGCCTCGAACCCACGAACCGTGAGATCGTGACCTGAGCCGAAGTCAGACGCTCACTGAACCACCCAGTCGCCTCCCTTCAAGCTAAAATCTAACGTCACACTTGCGCCTGTTCCCATCCGCACTGAGCGTGCCTTATTGCCTTCAGGTCTGGGTCACGCAGAAACCATCCCAAGAGGAAAGAAGCCCAGGAAGAAACAGCCTCTTGGGGTTACCCCATGTGGAGAGTGACAGGGGCCCTGGGAGCTGTGGGGGCAGAGGGGAAGCATGGTCTGCCCGTATTGTCCACTAAACTGGAGGAGTGTCACCATCAAGGCCACACGCCCCAGTAAGAGAAGGCTAAAAGAAAGTGGATCGATTCCTTCCTGGACCCGAGAACGGTCAGAGGTTTTACACTCCGTCTCAGCAGGACAGAGAAGTCCATGCTCCATGCCTGCTTGAGAGAAACACCACCACGCCTCTCTGTCCGGCCACCCGTGAACTTCACCAGCTAGAGGAAGCTTTCCACTCAGTCACCCGGTGCTCCTCTACGGTGAGAGGAGGTAACGCCCGGCACGGTCAAAGCTTCTAGTGATTTACGCACCCTTGTGGCAAAGCCCGCCAGCACGAGGAGAGAGGTTTGGGGACACTCAAAATCACATTTAGCAGAAAACTGAGCATCGCGCCTTACCCAGGGACACCAGCGTCTCGTAGTTGCCCCGCATCACGTGCTTGTAGAGCTCCTTCTGCCACTCGTCCAGCTTGCCCCACTCCTGCTCAGAGAAATACACGGCCACGTCATCAAAGGTCACGGGCACCTGGAACCACAAGCACCACGTGCGCTCACCCACACGCTTACGGGCACGGCCCTGTGCGCTGTCCCACCCCCAGTGCCCGAGGGGTACCTTGGGGGCCTCCCCCTTGCTGCCCGGGGGCAGCCGCAGGATCCAGAAGTTCCTGTTTCTCAGCAGGTTCTCCATGTTCTCCAGCCGCCTCTGCAGCAGCCCGTACTCCTGCAGCAGGGTCCCCAGCACGGCCCACTTGCCCTCCAGCTGGTTCCCGAACTCCACGGCCGTCTTCTCGCAGTCCGCCAGCTTCTTCTCGGCCATCCCAGTTCGACCTTCGAGGGACAGCAGGCGGGCAGCCTGCGACTCGATCTTCCTCTCCATGGCCTGAATTGTGGCTGCCATTGTCCACGGAGAAATCTTTCGGAAACAAGGAGAAGTCCACCATCATCCGTGCCGTCCACCGTGTGCCTTGAGCCCATCTCTGCTAGGGGTTGGGGGGCTGGGCCGGGGGTAGGGGTGGGGTGTGTGTGCGGAGCACAAAGGGAAAGCGGGGACGCCCTGTGCCACACGCCAGATCGCGGCCTGGTGATCGGCTCCTCTGGGGGACTCAGACACCACGGCTGTTTGGGCTGGCGCCTTCCCTCCAGGCCTCTGTAGCACACCTTGCACACCCGGATCCCAGCGTTCACTGCCCTGCCCATTAATCTGCATCTGCCTGCGGGGGCTCTCTGGAGCATCTTCCGCAGCACAGTGCGCGGCCCGCGGAAGGCGCTCAGTGCAGTTCTGCTAATAAACAGTGACTTAGCCCTGCTGGCTCATTTCAGCGCATAAATAGTAAACTGCAGATTTACTAGAGCCCAGCCTGCACTTCCCATCGTAATCGCACAGGAACTGTCTACTGATGATGACCTAGCAACACACACACACACACACACACACACACACACACACACACACAAACAAAAAACAGCTGGTTCACTGAACCGGCACAAACATGAGCATTGCTCAACTGCCTTTTTTTTTTTTTTTTTTAAAGTATCTTGTGTCTCTCTTTTTTTTTTTTAATTTTTTTTAATGTTTGTTTATTTTTGAGAGAGTCAGAGCACAAGTGGGGGAGGGACAGAGACAGAGGGAAACACAGAATCCAAGGCAGGCTCCAGGCTCTGAGCTGTCAGCACGGAGCCCGACGCGGGGCTCGAACCCACCAGCTGGGAGATCGTGACCTGAACCGAAGTCGGACACTTAACCAACTGAGCCATCCAGGCGCCCCTCGTGTCTCACTCTAATAAACATAAAAATCAAACAGCTAATTCCTCTCCCTCCAGTGCAATCTGATTTTATCCCCTCCCCAACTGCTCCTCCTTAAACTAATAAAAACCGCCGTTACTGCAAATCTCCACCAGCCAAGAGTTAGACTCTTTGACACAGGTGGCATTGGTGGGTCAAGGGGTCAAAAGGGGTCAAAAGCAACCCAGGTCCCCTGGGTCCCTGGAGAGTCTGATTTTGTCACTCGTGGTATCCAGCCCCTCCCAAAGGGAGAATTAGTCTCAGACATTTTTGTAGCCACCCCAGAATCAATGACACACCTGACAGATTGGGGAAGAAGGTAAAAACATGCCATGAGGTTAGACTTTTATATATACGATAACCGTCATAAGGCTTCCCCCAAGCAGTGACTTCCCTGTTGCTGGAAAGTTCGCATGGTAGCCTGAATGACCTGATTGGCAGCTGGGGACCCTGAGGAAAGGGCTCATTTTGATCTGGGTACGGGCTGAACCACCTGACTGACCCACATCTGAAGGTGGGACCGGCCGGTCAGGGAGGAGGTTTAGATATTTGTGCCTCCTTCTGGCGGTGCCTGAGGATGGACGGCTCCTTACAACGTTCTGGAAACCAGTCCTCAACAAATGGTCGGTGCCTAATAGGAACGAGTGAGGGCTCCTTTGGAGAAAGTCACTGAGAACAACATGGGTGGACGCTTCAGATAATAGGGAGAGGAAGAGAGTGTGAGCAGTGATGGGGGCAGCGTGGGGGGGGGGGGACTGTCAAGCACCCTCAGTGCTTCTGTGGCTGTTAGGAGGCCACACCAGATGACCTCTGAGCTGAAGAAGGGCTTCACCTGGCTCTCAGAGGATGGGGAGGAGCTGGAGAGGCAGAGAACCATTGGAGGGAAGCTGGATGTGGGCGGGACTCTAGCTCTCAAGGGGTAGGTGTTTCTGCCTCGAGGCTACAGGGGCTGAACTGGGCTGGCACCTTGGGCCACCCTTCATGACGGCGACCATCCCTTCCCTTGCCCACGTGTCCTTTCCTATCAACCACCGCCATCTGACCCCAGCCTCCCAAGAGTTTGCTCCAGGAGCATCCACTCACTTCATCACCTGGCATCTCAGTGCACTTGACTGCCATTATCCCAATCTTTGCGTTGCAGGAAAAGGACATCTGCGTAAACTACTTTACGACTAGCAAGGCACAGTTTTCTTACATTTTAATGGGGCAGGGAGCCCCGTATAAGGGCTTCAGACTATTTAGTGGGAGGTGGTGACTGTTTGTGCTCAGGCCCAGCTCCTTACTGAACGGTGGGTGGATAATATGGGGCTGTCCTGAGACTCCTGCCAGGGAAGCGGAAAGTCCATGCTTCAGGGGAGCGGATGGTAAGAGAACTCCAAATCCTTCAAGGAATTCCCACCCATATGATGAAGTCCAGGCATCAAACCCCCTTCCAACCCTTCTCTCCCACTGCAGCCTTCTCTCCCACTGCCTCCCTACCAAAACCGTCTTCTGGTGCAGGGGGCTGCCTTCTGGTCCTTGAACATGGGGCCCCCCCCCCCCCCCCCCCCCCCGGTGGGGGGGGGGGGGGGCCCTTTGGGCCTTGAACCCCCCCCCCCCCCCCCCCACCGCTTCCTCTCTGTGCTCCAGCCCACCTCCCGACCTGGAAAGCTCCACTGGTCCGCCCAGCCTGATGAAATCCTAGCCTTCCCTAAAAGCCCAGCTCAAATCACAGAAGCACAAGCCAGGGAGGGGTGCCAGTCCCTCCCTCTCCTTCCCCTGCACTCCCACAGCCCCTTTCTACTTCAGTGCAGGAACCACTCACCTCTGTTTTGCATCCTTAACACCAGTGTACCTGTCTGCTTCCCCCAAAACACAATGCGGCCCCGAAAACGGAGCAACTGTGTCTTTTCACACACTTTCTAGCTGTGCGATCCCAGGCAAGTTAACTTCTCCAGGCCTCGGGTTTTTCTTTTGTATGACAGAACGAGCACCTACCCCACAGGTTTGTTGTGAGGACAAAATAATGCCTAACAGGGCTGGTGCCTGCCTGCTTCTAAGAGAGGGAGCAGCTGTCTTCCGCCCCGACCTCGATGGAGCCGGGCACTCGGTGTGCGCGCCATCCAAGCCGCTTCGGACGCCTCCCAGGTGCCACCAGGCCGCTGGGGGGAGCTGGGGGGTAGGGAGCGCCGAGGCAGAGCGGTGGGGAGAGAAAGGAGCCGCGGGGTGGGGGGCGCGGAGATGGAGGGGCCGGCGGATGGGGCGGGGGCAGGAAGCCGCGGAGGGCTGCAGGAACTCGGCGTGCGGCGGCCTCCGCTGCGGGGACGGTCGGTTCCGCCCTGCTCAGGCTCGGCCGCGAATGGGGGGGCCCGGCCGGCGGGCGCCGTAGGCCCCGGCGGACCCCGCGCCCCGCTCGCCGGAGCCCAGGCACGGAGGCCCGGCCCGGCCCACGGAGCCCCTCCCCAGGGCCTGT